TTTAATCAGACCCCCCCCCCCCCCCCCCCGGAATCCAAAAGGTCTCATTAATGAGCCTATATCTGAAAAGACACAAGCTAAATGGCTCGAAACCCTAGGGCGGCTACGCATGCAACGGTCGCTATCACCAACAGTCACGGCCCCCTAGACGTGTACGGAAACCCTAAAAATCCACAAACCCCTTCGTCTTTCATCCTTGGGCTTGGGGGGGCAGTGTACGGGATGGGAACCTCGTTGACTCGGTCAAAGGCCGAATACGACAAAACCAATCACACCCCTTCGTATGAAGACAAAACTGGGAGCCCCCAAACACCTTCTCGGCCATAGACCTGGCCGAACACTATCTCGGCCATGGACCAGGCCGAACACCAACTCCAGAGGTCAAACGGGGTACCTCCTAAACCCAATCGCTACTAGGCACCACCTCGGCCATGGACCAGGCCGAAGCCATGAACCGAGCCGAACACCTTCTCGGCCATGGACCTGGCCGATCAGTATCTCGGCCATGAACCAGGCCGAACACCAACTCCAGAGGTCAAATAGAGTACCTCCTAAACCCAATCGCTACTAAGCACCACCTCGGCCATGGACCAGGCCGAACACCATCCCGGCCAAGGATCAGGCCGAATAACTCGTCGGCTTCAGGGCCGACCGATGGACTTGACAAGAGGGTAATCCACTCAAGACACGTGGTAAATTAAATACCTGTTATGCAACGCATCAACCTTGATTAAAGGAAGCTTAAGGCTAACTAAAATATTACCCATCTCCCAAGAAAGAAGGCCCACCAGGCCCAAACATGTCATTATAAATACACAGGTGATGGGACATAAGTAGGTACGATTTATTCTGTATAAATACATTTATAGCTCTATACCGAACACTTACTTGATCGTCGGAGTACCTTTGCAGGTACCCTCCCCACACTTCCGAGACAACATCTGATCGGGACCGAAGACTCAGAAGCCCAAGAACCTAGAAGAGTAGGTAGAGTTAAGAGGCTAAAAGGAGAGAAGAAGGAAGAACTATCAGAGGAACTATCAGAGGAGTGTTTCTTCGCAGGAACAAGTCTCATACTTTAGGTTGTACGCATTCATAAGTCGTGAACGGGATTTGAAAGAAAATGGCATTATTGTAAAATCTAATTTTTTTTGTTGAAAGATCTAATTTTTATTTGTCAAATTTGGGTACAGACCCGATACGTACATATGTATGCTCAAAATAAGTACTTTTTTTCTTTTTGGAAAATATTGGATATATATCCAACGTACAGGTACTCATACTCATACTTCAAAGCTGATTCACATGACAATTAATAGATCCACGGATAGATTGCTCTGACAATATGTTTTTTTTTTAATAAGATATTAGTGAATTTTAATGTATGGACACCCTGATCATTTGCAGCTTCATGAATGTCCTACAAGAGTTATGGTGAATCTAGTGAAGGAAGCATTCCGTCTCCTTCGGCCTGGAGGCACGCTAGCTTTGACAGATTTTTCGGTATATAATGTCATGATTACAATTTTTCCTTTTTCCTTTATTTTATTTTTGGTTTCATGATCCTAGAACAAATGCTCATATTATTATTGCTTCCTTCTGCAGCTGAAGTCAAAGGTTCTTCAGGTATTGCATTGTTTTGCTTTTATGCTTTATTGTTTTTATGAAAATGCAACTAAGCCAATATGACTTATTCTTTTATTATGCTCAACTTATGAGTATTATCAAGTGTAGAAAAGTGCTAATAATATACTCACTGACACATTCTCAATATATTCATTGAAGATGAAAACTGTAAAACATGTCAAAAGTGTCAAAAAGTGTATTGCTAACATTCCTCAAACTTATTCTTGATCTTGGGATTGAATTCTAGGTTTCTTTTCATGGAAAAAAGAAACTGCGTAAATTATAAATGACGGATCTACAACCTAAAGGACCAGTAAAATGTAGAGTTGAGAATGATCCACCATGTCACCATGAGATACTCTACAAAAATTTGATCATCCACCATGACACATCTTTAACTTGATAGTACATAACGTTGTCCATGTAGGAACATGATCCAACTTGTTTCCTTTTGCTGTCTTGTAGGAATTGTCTCCGGTCCTGTTTACATTAGTTAAGAGCACAGAACCCTTTCTGGATGAGTATTACTTGACTGACATGGATCAAACACTGAGGGAAGCTGGTTTTGTGAACATAACATCAATTCTTACGGACCCCAGACACGTGACAATTACGGCAACAGTGCCTCAATGAATCACCACATCTTCACATTTTTTTTAATTTATATTTTTCTTGGTACATAAACATCTTATGCTGGGCTTCAAGCAATTCAGCCCTTGGTAGAATATTGATTAAATTATGCATCTATGGGCAACGATCTGTTTTTACCTATTATTATTTGGTTGAGGAATGATAGCAGTAATTTGTCTCACACTTATTAACCGAAACTTATTAGATATCATAAATTTTGTTGATTTTATATCTCATTTGATGATTCTATCTAGATCTAGTGACACGGCTCTACTAAAATTTGCAATTTTCAACTGATAATTGATAGAAGTAAAAAGGTTTTAGAATGAATGTGGCAATCATTTTTCATATTGAGTTTTATAGAGAATCCCCAGATTTAGTGCAACATTGATTCCTTTGAAGGTGAGCATTATTATCCATTCCCTCATGTGTACTTCTGGCCCTTTCTTGAAGCACCGTTCAATTACTATCGTGTCCTACATATTTGGGTTTTGTTCTGCCAACCTCTTGTTTTTTGTTTGCTTGTTACCTTTAATGGTAAACTTAGAAGGAAAAGTGAGCATAGATAACAAGACATTAGTTGTGATGTGTTTCGAATATGGAAAATGGAAACTGATGATAAAAAGGCATTCCCGGCCTCAAAGAAGTTCATTTTGCATTACAAATGGACTGTATTTTGGTTAGAAATCGTATCAAAAATCAACGGTTATTTGTAAAGAAGAATTAGATTGATAATTTTTTTAAATATAATGAAATTCAATATAAAACTAAATAAAAAAGATAAATTAATATAGATGAGCGGTCGAGAAAAAAAAAATCTAAGAACACTCATTGAAGAAAATCAGCTAAAAACCTTTCATTATCATTTAAAAATAATTCTTAAAAATATTCGCATTTAGACTTTTTTATTTTTATTTTTTTAATTTAAACTACTCCATTTGTATATATAAGACTTAATTATTTAATTTATCAAAATTATTAAAAAAAATAGTTAATTTAGTTGATAATAATAAATTTATCCTATTTTTATATACATATTTTGTAAAATTCCATTTATATCACTTCTCTTTTAATTAATGTTTATATATTTTCTAACTAATTAGAATGCATATATTATATTATTTTTTTTATCATAATTAATATTGATTTTTTTAAAATTAAATTAGAGTGCACGCTCTTTAAAATTTAAAATTCAATATAAACATAAAGATACAAAATAGTAAAAATAAAATTTAAAATTCAATATTAAAAATGTTGTGAGTACCTTACATATATTGTTAATAAAGTAATCTAATCATATATTAGATAATATAAATGGCTGTTTTAACCTATGTCCACTCATCTTGAATCCTATCATGAGAGTTTCATTTTCATCCGATATAATGTTGGGTGTCAAATTTGAAGTTATAGCTGGTGCATGGATGTTGATCAACTACTCAATACAATTACCACAAACTAATTTTCTGTTTTTAACTTTCTTTTCCAGTGATAATTTTTTCTATTTTTCAAAATCACGTATTCGAAACAACACATATAGGTACATACTCATACCCCTTTCCACCAAACTCCATGCATATCATAAACAGCGAAACGGTTAGAGCCTCTCATTTTTATCTCGAAATTGTTACATAAAAACAAAAAAATAAGAATATTTAAATAAGAACGAGAATGTGTGTCATGTTATCACGCAGATAGAACATAAACATAGGAACGAAGAGTACACGTGGGCAAGGTGGGGTCAGAAAAAGCTGAATCTATAGTGTGTACGTTTCCTTATTCTGTTCCTCCTCGTACACTTCTTCACGGGTCACAATTCCTCCCAGGGTTATCAAACTGTTCCCAAGCTTTTCGTGTTCGAATCTTCATCTTTTTTTTTTTTTGGTCCCTTTGAGGAAAGCTAAGGAATTTCTCAATTGGGGTGGGACGTGACACCTTCTGCAAGTGTTTTCGTAAGTATTCTCTGACCCTTTTCATGGACCAACGTGCTACTGTGTTCTGGCTTCATATTCTCAAATGGGTTTTTTGTTTTCTGATCAAAAGCTCTCTTCTTTGTTAACATGTTGATTAGTTGTTATTATTGTCATAAACCCTCTTTCTCTCTCTCTCTCTCTCTCTCTCTCTCTCTCTCTCTCTCTCTCTCTCTCTCTTGTTGCGTTTAATTTAATTTGGTGTGTGTGTCTTTGTGTTTTTAATTTTAATTTAGCTGTTTCTGAAGCAAATTTATCCTCTTGCTTTCTTTGTCCATGGTAATTTTGATCAATGAAAGTTAAAGTTCACTTTTATTTATTTATTTATTCTTTTGTATATCTCTCTCTGTTGATGAGGGGAAAGATGCCCCTAGGGTTAGAACTTAGAAGTTGTAGACTATTTAGGAAAAATAAGTTAAAAATTCAGGGTTATGTGTTGTGAATTACTTAAGGTTCTGGTGTGGTTTAGAAGAAAAAGATATAGGCTGGTCCAGTTGTTGGAAAGTTATAAGTTGGAGTTTTGAGTTTGGCATTATTGGGTGAAGACGTGTATAAATGATTTTTCATCATTGATTAGGCTTTTGGATGGATAATTATTAAATGTGATTGTGTTATTGGCTGGAATTTCTCTGCAATCTATTTTTCATGTTTATGTCTTTATGATGGTGATTATGACACTTCCGGATCAATTTAGTCTCTCTGTTGAATATATTCTTTCTGCTTTTATTGCAGATAATTGAATATAACTACCTTGAAATTGAGTGTTGAGACGAGTAATTGCAACCTTATTCTAATCAGACAATATTAGAACAAATTACTATTCCAGAAAGGATATTATGATCACTATGGATGTAAAAGGCATGAGATGGGTTGGAAATATGTACCAGAAATTTGAGAATATGTTCTTGGAGGCAGAAGATGTCATGTACGAGGTATGCCTTTGTTGTTGTGTACTTAACCTATCATATACACAATGATTTTAGGTTTCATGTTAAGAAATATAACTCAAATTGCCCTATTGCTTGTAATTGTTATTCATGTGATTGATTGAATCCCTAAAATTTATGTTCTACTTTCTCTGTTGCTACCATTAGAGCTGATCTCCTTCATTTATGTCTTATATGACCCTACTATTCTACATGTAACTATTGTTGAAGCAATGTAAATGCTAAGAGAGAAACTACAGCTTAGGATTATGTAAATTGGAAATATGTTCTGTTTTTACCGCGATTGAAAGTTGTGCCCAATATATAAGGAAAACTAAGGCAAAATAGTATTATAGTAAAATATTTTACAGTTTGCTTCTTTTTAATGCTCAACACTTTTTTTTGGTATAATGTGCACTTTTTTGGCACATATTGTCTTAATGCATTAAAAACCCTATCACTTTGTGGGTGCCTTTCTCCTTTGACTTTCTTTATTTTTACTCGGTATTGAATGCAACATAGAGCTTATATTTTTGTTGTTATATATGGTAATCTTTCTGTATATAATCATAATTTTTAACAGTAATGGGTTAAACTGTTCTTGAGATTGATAGTTCCCTAACCTGGTACAGGATACTGTTAAATACATAGAGAATCAGATGCAGGCTGTTGGGGAAAGTGTTAAAAAGTTCTATTCAGATATTGTGGAAGACTTACTTGAATCAGATGAAGAGGTAGGCATTGAATTGCCTATAGATAAACATGCTGATGCTAGGTTCTATAAGAAGCCATTCCAAGTTTATAAGGAAAGACATGTAAAAGCTGATACAAAGCAAACAACTGAGGATTTAAGGATTCACAATGGTGTTGATAATTATGCCAAACTTTTTGCTTCATTTGATCGGACTTCTGAGGCTGATGCTTCAACATCTTTGAGAAATTCTGTCAAACAAAGTAATTTTAGTTCGCCTTCAAGACAGTATGCTGGAAGAATGGATGTTAACTCAAACATTGGCATTGATGAAAATCCAGTAAGAAAAGAAGTGGCTGCAACCAAGATAATCAAAGAAACCACTTTGGCAGAAGCAAATACATGCACGACATTACAGTCTTGTGAGATCTCAAGTGAAAATCAAAATCAGAATCATGGAGTTAGTGTTTCAAAGCCAGCTTCAACTGAAGTGACAAATCTTGCTCCTGAAACAGACTGTTCTAATGAAATTGAAAATGCTAGTACCGAACAATTTCCTAATGTTCAGGAATTAGATAAATCTGCTGAAGAGAAACAGATTGATGCGAGTTCTTCCTGTTGTGTCCCTTTTGCAGAGTCAGTTGGTGAGTATTTCAGTATTCCTTGGTTATAGTTTCAAAATTTTCCTCATTGTTTTGGCTGATAACTTTGATTTCTGATGTTTTTTCTCTGTAAGTGATAGTTTCTCTATGAATAGAACAGTACAGTTCAATGATTATACTTATAATATGGTGGGCCTATCTCAGCTAGGTAGTAGGTAGTAATTCAGATTATAAGTAGTTACTCAATTTATATATTGACACATCACTTTGAAGAACGTAGTCTCTGTCAACGTTAATATATATTACTTCCTCTGGTCCTCTTTATAAGATCAAATTAACTGATCCACAAGGATTAAGGAAATTAATTTGGTTAGTAGCATTAAATTTGTCCTAAATTTAGTTCAAAACTTAGGTAGGTTTTGTTGGAACATTTACATTAAGTTGTGGGAATTGAGTGTGTGACATAGGATTCGATTATTCTCTTTTGTTGAATTTATCACCTTTCTTTAATTTCAAGACAGAATCAACTAAACGCTGTAAGCATGCTTAAATTTATGTTTAGATGTTTTATAGATTTGATTCTTCCCCTATTTGTGGGCTCTAGATACTAGATTGGCAGCCACTACCAACTGAATAAATTTATGGTTTATGGAACCAAATCCCTAAACCTTTGCTGGTGCTAAAATGCTAACAATTCTTGGCCAGTTGAATTCAGTCAGGGTATTGAATTAATTCATTGTTTTTTTAATGATATTTGTGATGTAACAATGATTGATAGTTTAATACTGTTTTATAACAAGACCATATAACCATGCAAGAAGATCATATGAAGCTTGAGGAAGCCTGTGTTATGGTGAGTAGAGATGAAATTCAATTACCTCCCAAAGCAGGTGGTAATGCAAACATTAACAAGGTACAACACTCAAACCGTCCTCTTCTCTTTATTTGGTACACATTCACATTTAACTAAAGTATTTTTCCATTTCTAGAAAAAGACGCGGCGAGCATTTTCTTTGTATAAGAAATCTGCAAGAAAGCAAGAGTATAAAGAGCTTGCAGCATGGCATTTGAAAAGTGAAAAAGTAAATGAAGATTGCATGGAGAATTTAAATCAAACTTTACCACACGATCCAAAAAAACCACTGCTTTCTAGTATGACTGAACCTGAGTGGGAGCTTCTCTAACTCTATGTCATAATTTGGATTCACTCATTAGTCCCTGTGGAGATTAAGATGCCATACTTGAATTTTAAGAATTAAGATGCTGAAATGATATGAATTCATACAATGTTTATGCTATTTATAGTTCTTTTCTAGTTCCCAAGCTTCCCTACTCAACCTTTTTCTTTTTGCTGCTCACAGAAAAGAGGAAAGGGAACTTGTAAATAGGCCACTCAAATGAGAACCTCAAATAGAATAATAAATGAAACTGCTATCTATTTTATGAATACTGAACCTTCCTATTTACATTTTCTCCTCTGATTTCCATTGTGAATTGCACGTCCTTTCTGATTGAATTCATAATCCTGAAATGTCTCTTTAAGTTATAAGAAGTAAGAACAAGTAGTTCCTATCAGCACGTGACTCTTGGTGGCCTTGGCTTGTGGTTATGTGAATTGTAATGTAAAAACACTTCACTGGAACTTTGAGTCTGGTTCTTGTCTCAACTAGTGTTAGTTTTGAGTAAACACTCAAATTCGTCACTGAAAATAAGTATCAGGGAATATATTAATTCTTAGTAATGTAGAAGTTTCAGTTTAGCGCAAAAAAAATCATAAATGTTGATTATACCGATTCTTTTCAGAGACAAGATTATTGTGTTTAAGGATTAATATGATTTAACATTCATGGTTTTTAGGAAGTGTGGAATTGTCGTATTATTCGGAGTACAATCTTCTTTCTGCCAAACTTTTCATAGACACATTTAAGGTTTAACTCTAGTAAAATGAATATGGTCTAGAAGAAACGTCCAGATCGTTAGGTACATTTTTTTTGACAGAGATTAGTCATCAATATAAATCTTAAGAACCATATTAACATTTTCCTAAAAAGTTTCAAGTGATTTTTACAAGATAGCATAAAGTTTTTAAAAACATTTTGGACAGGTGAAAATTTAAGCCATCTACAAAAAAGAAAATATTTTGGGCCAGGTAACAAAACGAGGAATCATAATAGAATAAGGCATGTCCATGAAACGATTACTCCATTCTTTTATGCTATCAGGTACACTATTCACGAATTTTTCACTAAAATTTAGAATTTTTTTAAAAAAAAATTTATCAAAAAAAGCACCTGTACCAATTTATTTACCCAATTAGTACCTTTCACTGTTCACGTTCAGAATTCGGTCCGAAAACCGAATTCTGAGCTGTTAATTTTTTATTTTTTTTTTGCATTTTGGATCTAAGCATGGTATAAAACTGGATCTAGAACGACCCGTTCTCCTTTTAGAATGGGTCGTTCTCCTTGCAGAATGCTCCGTTCTTCTTTTAGAACGGGCTGTTCCGGGTGCAAAAATACACACATAACGAATGAATCTAAACGGGCCATTCTGCTTGGACGTTCCAGTTTCAAAATTAACAAACTATGTGTGCAAGCAGAACGGCCCGTTTTGCTTGAAGAACGGCCCATTCTGCTTGAAGAACGGGCCGTTCCAGTTGCAACATTAACACACAACCTGAACTACAAACAGAAAAAAAAAAAATTAAACACTATTCAGAATTCAATTCCCCGGGAATCGAATTTTGAGCAAAAAAAAATTAAAAAAAAAAATTTGAAATTCAGAATTCGGTTTCGCGGGAACCAAATTCTGAGTACGAACAGTAAAAGGTATTACTTCTGTAAATAAATTGGAACAGGTGTTGTTTTGGTAAATTTTTTTTTAAAAAAATTTATTTCAGTAAAAATTTCCTCTATTCACATGACCATGAGTGGAGTGTAGGGGTAGAATTTAATATTTTATTGAAGAATTTATTTACTTATTTAATATTTTTTTCTATTTTTTTTTAATTCACATCAATATAATGTTCACAGATGATAAAAAAACCAATATAATGTTCACTAATCCTTTTTTTATATTTTAAATTCTTCCACTTATTGTTGTGCCTCTACATATTTAACTACTTATTTTATTATATCTCTATAATAATTACAAACTTACCAATGACTAAGAGGTAGATGAAGGTAGTTCCCTTACAACTAGTGTCAAAATGAATCAATTCAAGTCCGGCGTGATTTTTTAACCTAACTTGTTAGCACAAATTATTTTAGAATTATATATATTAATTTTAAACTTTTATCAATTTTTATTTTTAGTCCTTAAAATTTTGTCAAGTTTAAATTTTACCAGTCCTTGAATTTTTTTTCTTTCATTAGTGTTTTGATTTTTGACGTTAAAACTTTTTTGTTCATGACTTTTTTTTTTCAAAGATCAAAGCCAAATAAAATTTGTTTAGAGCTAAAAATAAAAATTAAAAACATTTAAAGACTAAAAATATATTTAATCATTTATTTTATCACCTACCTTTTTATAATTTGTAAAATATAAATATAAAGTTTAATACATAATATGTCGATTAATATTTTATGTACATTGACTTTTGTTTTTAATTTCTAGCACTTGATTAATGTTACAATTGGTGCAAATTTTCATTATTGTATATTATATTTTTCTATTTTGGAGTACACATGACAACTTATTTTTTTTAATTTTATTTTATATTAATAATAAATCATTTTTATTAATTTGTTATGTAAAAGTTAATTTTTTAATATTTTTATTATTATTTATATTCTTAAAAATGAGTGTTTCATGAGTTAGCATATTTATCTTGCAGGTTGCCAAGGATTGGGCCAACAAAATTGTAGCCTGTGTTAAATTAGTCTAGTTTTGGCTCAAGCTATAAATATGTTAACAACTTGATTAGATCAAGGTTGTTCAATTTGTCAACATTACTTAAACACATTGAAAGTTAATTGTGTATTTAGTTTGATGTCTTTGATCTATGTTATGTCAAAATTCACATCAAATATTATTAATTGACATAAAAGCAACTACAAATAACTTTAAGAATATAATGATTTGAAAGTGACAAAATGTGGAACTAAACACGCTTTTAAGTTAATGTGAAACCAAACACATTTAATGTATGTTTGATTACATGTTTGTAAAAATCAATATCAACATCTTCAATTTATTTTGAATTAAAAATATCACTAAACTTATATTAACAACGTGACTCCAAACACACTATTAGTAATTATATCACATCTATAATCCTGCTTGTAATTACTTGTTTAATTTTAAGCTTGATAGAATTGATTTTAATAAACTTGATTTTGAATCGTTGAATGTAATCAAGACTTGTATATGTACTAATCAAATTTAATATTTTTGTTGGGACCTGTGTTTTTTTATTAAAAAACATAAATAAACTTTACTTATGTTTTGACCGAATCATAATATATGTTTTTAATTTTTGATATTTTTTTTATTTTTATTTAGTTATTGAACAATTATTTTTATTTATTTTAGCCTTTGAATTTTTGTTCATTTTTTCACTTTTAGTCCTTTAATTTTTCTTTCTATTAACATATTTGGTATTTCTAAGGATAGAAAAAAGGTCCACTTAGACTAATTAATGTTATTTATAGTTCTTGGAATGGCACCATGAGATCTCCTATTCTCATTAACTAGGGAACACCATTAATATGGAACATTCAACATTACTTTCAAATACTACTATATCTTTCAATTTAATTTCTGTTCTGCTCATACACAAATACAAGATAATTTCTTAAAGATTAAATATATTTTAGTCCTTAAATTTTTATCAAATTTTTTTTTGAACAAATAATTTTGACATCAATATAAAAAATGTTAATAGAAAGAAAAATTAAAGGACTAAAAGTGAGAAAATGAACAAAAATTCAAAGGCTAAAATAAATAAAAATAATTGTTCAACAACTAAATAAAAATAAACAAAATTTCAAAAATTAAAAACATATATTATGATTCGGTCAAAACATAAGTAAAGTTTAAGTAAAAATTATTTCCACAAAAAAATCAAATCCAAACATTATCTAAACAATTCAATCTTGAATTCAACATATTATATACATACAGTTAATTAAAAGGGTTGACGAATTTTAAAAAAAGGATCGCATCAATTTAGAAAACCAATATATATAATGAGGAGTTTTCTCTCAAACAATATTTTTTAGTGTTTTAACCTAAATTTCTTTACATTCATTTTCTTTTTAATTTACACTTTGAGCTTGATTAATTGATTGTTATTTGTGGCTCTGTTTTATTTTGAAGTATCCTATTACCTTGTTGATATATTAACGAGCAGAACAAAAAATCTGAACAGTGGGACCAAAAAAAAAACCATTCCAGAGGAAGAAAATAAGAAAGATGGAAATAATGAATGGTGGAGAAAAATGATATTTGCAATTGACATGAATGTGTTTGTTAGATGGATTTAATATATTCTGAGAAGAGATAGCTGAGTAAGACTATTGACTATATACAGAGGATTTCGTGTACTTGAAGAGTGCATAACCTTAATTATCTTGAAATTCTAATCAAATCGAATGAACACTACCTACTGAGAATCTAAAACTGTGTAAACCTTAAGTAATCCTTAAATGAGTTACATAAAAGTTGTCCATTCATTCACAAAGGCAACAATAGCATTGACACATGACTAACTATCAGGAAATATATAAACAAATAATGATAATAATTTATGCATGCTACCAAGGAATTGATTTTATCTATATATATATGCTACATTAATTAATTAATAATAATAATAATGTTAGAGTTTAAGTGTAAAAAAAAAAAAAGAAATTACATCAAATAAAATTGGATATGTTAAGTAGTATATAGGTGAAAAACAATTCATCAAGTTAATGTCTTAAAATGTAGTGTAAAATTTAATTATGTGATTTATTTAGTATTTATTGATGAAAGTGTTTCATGGTGTTTAATTTCCAGACACATCAAATAACAATAAATATAGCTGTTTTTTTAAAAGTATAATTGGGAGAAACCATTAACTAACAGTTGTCTCCTGATCAGTGAACTAGTAGTAGCTGTACCTAATAACTTGATATATATCTGAGGTGTAGTGTTGTTCACCGACACTTGGTAAAACAAATGTTGGGAGGAAAATAATACACGCTCACCTATAATGTAAGGGTAGCCTTAAGTTCATCAAATTTATATTGTCATTCACTATTAAAATTGTGTTTGGATACTCGAGAGGACTCAAACATATTTTTTTCCGTTCAAATAAACTAAACACATATTAAGAAATTAAAAATAAATGTAATTTTAAAAATGATTATTATGAAACTAAATATCCTTATAATTTGTGATCAAATGGTATTGTTCCCTTTGATAGTATGTAGATTATTTACACTTTGTATATTACCTCAAAGGTA